TAACCCTATGAGGTAGATAATATTACCTCCAGTTTATAGAATGGGAAAACTGAGACACAGAGAAGTTAAATAACTTGCCCAAGGCCATAGAGCCATTTTTCTTGTTATCATCAGAGCAACTTCTAATCCATTAAAAACTGAAAAATATTTTCCTTCAAAGCATTTATTTAATGTATAAAAACTTACCTGATTTCTCAGATAAAGGGAAAAGCCTGGCCAAAAAGAGTTGAATTCGTCCACAGAAGACTGTATTCTGGGATTTTGATAATCTTCTCAAGAGATCTAACAATATATGGAAATGAAGGTTATAGGAAATCATTCTACGTTTATTACAACTATACCCAAATTTGTTAATCAGTCTGTCAAGAGTATTTCCCTAAAGCAGTTCTCAAAATTGGAGTAGAAACTATTATTCCAAAAAAGCATCAAAAAAATTAGGAATAAAACCAATTTAGCATGGGCAAGAAAAACTTCACTGAATTTTTTTTTGGTTTTATGTTTATACCCAGAACAGGAAGTTTAATTTAAAGTGAATGATCAGTTTTAATAAATGAGTATGTTATTTAAAAATGAAGATACTAATCTATTTTTAAAATTTTATCACTTGTGTTTAACTCAACCACCTGTTTTACTAGCCACATTTGTTTTAAAAAAAAATCATTTACAATTGAATTACTTACCATTGCACATACGTAGTAAATAATTTTTCCCAGCAGAATAGAATGTGTTCTGAAATTAAGACAGAAATTATCACTAGTGTTCAGAAGTTGTTGCATTCTTCAATAAGTCACAGCAAGTAAGACATTAAAGAACACTGACATGCACTGAGTCTACTATGCCACTTTTCACTATTTCCCCCACAAATAGCATTTTCAATTAAGTATATGTTCACATATATAACAAAACATGATACTAAGTAACTGTTTTAAACATGTGAAAGTGTGCATTTTCAAATTAGTTGTTACTACTCAAATTCTGCACTTCAACTTTTTCTACACCATGACTCTTACTTGGCCCCCTCAAGATAGCAGTATAATTCCCTCAGAAGGACAAACTTTTTGGCAGTCAGCAGTACTAAAATATAAGCAAAAAAAAAACTATCTTCTGAACTCTGGATCGACAGAAACATAATGTTAGCAGAAAAAGAAACTAAGGCACTTACTGATTTCCAAGTAGCAACATTTTTTTCCACAAAAGTGAATATTGTGTCACATTGATCCAAAGGAAGACAATCCAAAACATCTCCCAATAATACAAAAGGTGTAGATGCGGTACAAATACCTTCAAGTGGAGCACAAGCCAATTTAAAAGTTTAAAAAAAAACTGTACAGTAAAATAGCCCATGCAAAATAATTCTGAAGAATATCTTAACAATATACTTAGTCACTCCTAACAAATTTTTAAGAGACAAGAAATGGAAGCAACCTAAAAGTCCCCAAATGGGACATACTTAAGTAATTTTTGGTATGTGCACTCAATAATAATGATGATGATAATTCTTGATAACACTTCTAGAGCATTTACTATATGTCAGGCACACTAAGTGCTTTACGTATACTAACACATTTAATCCTTATAACCCTATGAGGTAGATAATATTACCTCCAGTTTATAGAATGGGAAAACTGAGACACAGAGAAGTTAAATA